ACATCAACAGCATCACTCATCTGAGTAAAGACGGCAACTATCTTCTCCCATCTAGCCACTATTGCCATGGATATTTAATGTATATGTCAGCAGATATCACCTTGACAATTCATGTTGGAAGTCTCCTATAGCTGCAGAGTGTGAACCTAATGTGTGGTTGTTATAGCAATGGCATTCTATATAGCATTGTACATTTTGTTTGTGTTGCATTATTCACCTTTTCCCTCTGAATTCCATGACCCATAGGAAACCATTCTATCCCCCAGGCTGTCATTGGTCAATTCAGACTGATTCAAAACCATTTCTTCAAGATGGCCACCAATGCATGACATCTCTGTTCACTTATTTCCCCTCTCTTTACTTCTGCTTGGTTTAAGTGAAATGTCGCTTCAATGGGCAAAGCTGGCAACTAACTGTCCCTGATTGTGTCACTGTGTATATCATTAGGAGCCAAGCTCAGACTATGAGCAACCTGGGGTGCATTCAGCAAGGCACGACGTTGTGCAACCTTCAGATAGCATGTAGAAATATAGCATGTAGAACAAACATGCCTCTCTGACATGTAGAATAAAGAATAATCTCAGCTCTACTCATGACATTTCTATCTAAAACGTTTCCTAATGTTTGGATACTGAACGTGGCCCTCGTGTCAGTGTTTAGGGCCGAACCATGATGGACAAGGCACGTCTCACTGTATGAGACTGATGTAGGATTTCTATACATTTCTGACAGAGTGAAGTGGCCTAATGTGTGGACCTTTACACACACTCAGCATTAATCACAGTGTTGTCTTAAGGCTAAAAAAAATAAAACCCTCAACACCTCAAGCCTCAACACTAAATAGGTATCTTCTGCCACCGTCTGGTCAATGTGTGTATGTACTGCACCGGGAAGCACCCTTTTGCAGACCAGTGATACTTTGCTGCTTCTGCAGCTCCCATGTCTAGACACTCAGATATCTCTGGTTAGGGGTTGAGAAAAAGGGGTCATGATAATCAGGTATTCTGTTACAGTACTATGTATGACCAAAGTGTATTGAAATAGCACATGATGGGCACCTACTGATCCTGCGACTAGCTCTTAGGAAACTTTGCAGTATTTTGTTTTTTTATGTATTATTTTTACATAATTACCTCAGAAAGTGTTTTGCATCATTACATACAGCCGGGAAAAACTATTGGATATCAGAGCGGCGGTTACTCACCAGCATTACGACCAGGAATACGACTTTCCCGAAGCAGATCCTTTGTTTGCTCTCCCCAGGGCAACTAAACTGATTCCAGCGGCTGACCCAAAACATCGCCGGCGGAGGAGATGCACTCGGAGCGGCCTGCTGGTTCGACTTAGGAGGCGCGCACACCACCCACCGCTTCCAAGTATTCTACTCGCTAATGTTCAGTCTTTGGTTAACAAGGTCAACGAAATACGGGCAAGGATTTCTTTCCAGAGAGACATGAAGGCCTGTAACATACTCTGTTTCAAGGAAACATGGCTCTCTTGGGATATTCTGTCAGAATCGGTCCAGCCAGATGGGTTCTCAGTTCATCACGCAGACAGGAATAAATATATCTCCGGGAAGCAGAAGGGCAGAGGTGTGTGTTTCATGATTAACGACTCATGGTGTAATTGTAGTAACATAGAGGAACTCGAGTCCTTCTGTTCACCCGACCTAGAATATCTCACAATCAAATGCCGACCGTATTATCTCCAAAGAGAATTTTCTTCGGTTATAGTCACGGCCGTGTATATCCCCCCTCAAGCCGATACCACGACAGCCCTCAAATAACTTCACTGGACCTTATGCAAACTGGAAACCACATATCCTGAGGCTGCATTTATTGTAGCCGGGGATTTTAGCAAAGCAAATTTGAGGACTAGGCTGCCGAAGTTCTATCAACATGTCAACTGTTGTACTCGCGCTGCTAAAATCCTCGACCATTGCTATTTGAACTTCCGGGATGGTTATAAGGCCCTCCCCCGCCCTCCTTTCGGCAAATCTGACCACGACTCCATTTTGCTTCTCCCTTCCTATAGGCCGAAACTCAAACAGGTAGTACCCGTGCTAAGGACTATTCAACGCTGGTCTGACCAATTGGAATCCACGCTTCAAGATTGTTTTGATCACGCGGACTGGGATATGTTCCGGGTAGCTTCCGAAAATAATTTTGACGTATACACTGTGTATACGTGATGTTGTGCCCACTGTGACTATTAAAACCTACCCTAACCAGAAACCGTGGATAGATGGCAGCATTCGCGCAAATCTGAATAGTGCAAACCACCGCATTCAATCATGGCAAGGTGACTGGGAATATGGCAGAATACAAACAGTGTAGCTACTCACTCCGCAAGGCAATTAAACTGGCAAAACATCAGTATAGAGACAAAGTGGAGTCGCAATTCAACGGCTCAGACACGAGACGTATGTGGCAGGGTCTACAGACAATCACTGACTACAAAAGGAAAACCAGCCACGTCGCCGACACCGACTTCTCGCTTCCAGACAAACTAAACACCTTCTTCGCCCGCTTTGAGGATAACACAGTGCCACTGACGAGGCCCACTACCAAGGACTGTAGCTTCTCCTTCTCCATGGCTGACGTGGTTAAGACATTTAAGCATGTTAACCCCCGCAAGGCTGCCGGCCCAGATGGCATCCCGAGCCGCATCCTCAGAGCATGCGCAGACCAGCTGTCTGGTGTGTTTATGGACATATTACATCTCTCCCTTTCCCAGTCTGCTGTTCCCACATGCTTCAAGATGGCCACCATTGTTCCTGTACCCAAGAAAGCAAAGGTAACTGAACTAAATGACTATCGCCCTGTAGCACTCACCTCTGTCATCATGAAGTTCTTTGAGAGACTAGTCAAGGATCATATCACCTCTACCTTACCTTTCACCCTAGACCCACTTCAATTCACCCCCCTATCCACATCGACGGGACCGCAGTGAAGGTAGAAAGCTTCCTTGGCGTTCACATCACCGACAAACTGAAATGGTTCACCCACGCAGACAGTGTGGTGAAGAAGGCGCAACAGAGCCTCTTCAACCTCAGGAGGCTGAAGAAATTCGGCCTAGCACTTAAAACCCTCACAAACCTTTACAGATGCACAATTGAGAGCATCCTGTCGGGCTGTATCACCGCCTGGAACGGCAACTGCACCGCCCACAACCGCAGGGCTCTCCAGAGTCTGCCGAACTCATTACCGGGGGAAAACTACCTGCCCTCCAAGACACATACAACACCCGATGTCACAGGAAGGCCAAAACGATCCTCAAGGACATCAACCACCCAAGCCAATGCCTGTTCACCCCGCTATCATCCAGAAGGCGAGGTCAGTACAGGTGCATCAAAGCTGGGACCGAGAGAATGAAAAACAGCTTCTACCTCAAGGCCATCAGACTGTTAAATAGCCATCACTAGCACATTAGAGGCTGCTGCTGCCTATTGAAATCACTGGCCACTTTAAGAAATGGAACACTAGTCACTTTAATAATGTTTACATATCTTGCACTACTCATCTCATATGTATATACTGCATTCTATTCTATAATATTCTACTGTATCTTAGTCCATGCCGCTCTGTCATTGCTTGTCCATATATGTATATGTTCTTAAATCCCATTCCTTACTAGTTTTGTGTGTATTTGGTATATGTTGTGAAATTGTTAGATATTACTTGTTAGATATTACTGCACTGTCAGAGCTAGAAGCACAAGCATTTTCCTACACCCGCTATAACATCTGCTAAACACGTGTATGTGACAAATAAAATTTCATTTCATTTCATTTGAAATGTAAAGGAACTCACTTCTTATCAGCTTATAGTCTCCATCTAGTGGCCAAGAGTATGAAGTGCATTGGTTTATGTATTACATGTAAACCCTAGCTTGAATATGTACCTCAATGTAATATAATACATTTACCTCAATATAAATGGTACATCTGGTATTCAAAGAAAAATAAACATCCGTATGACAATTTCTAACATTTACTTTTATTGTAAAGGTGATATATTCCAAAATATTAATATTTTAGAGGAACAGAGAACAAAGAGACGTAAAGAGACATGTAAAAAACATCTACACAAGGCTTTGGTAAGACTCTTGGGTAATATTCTTGTAAAAAAATCCACATCAAAAAAATAAGAATATTATCTTATAATAACAATGCACAAAATCATAGAGATTTCCGTTGCGGTGTGTCTACATGAACAGTAGTACAGCTGAGTAAAAAGTCATACAGGAGATTTCTTGATCCTAGAAACATCAAATTTTTTTGAAGGCTTATAAAATGCTGGAATGGCTGGGTAACTGTGCTTTAAGTTCTGGAATAATATACACTACCAAAGAGGATACTACAAGATATAGTCTAACAGTACTATCTCTTATCAATTGGTGTTTTCATAATTATCATTATTCAAGAACATTATACCACAACAAGTTTACAGTAATCTTGCAAAATAATCCTAAATGTAACAGAGCTAGTTTATTTTACATACAGAGGAAAATCAGTCAGGTTCATCATAGGCTAGGCGTTATTTGGGGTAGCCTGTCTGTTTGTTTTAGGCTCGAGAAGAGACCAAGGGAATTCCTTCCTTCTTCTTGTAAGATAACCCATGACCTTTGACCTTGAAGGATGGGTCATTTCAGAATTTGCTAAACTCTTTCCAAACTCTGACTAGAGGTGTATACAGAACCAGTGAACCTTCCCCAATCTAGAATCTTCAGACACAGCCCTGGATTAAACCAAGAGAGATTAAGGTCCGTGCCAGCCCTAAACAGAGTGCATTGGATCATTGAGTGACACTATGCCACCTCACGTTCCGTCCCATAACCAAGTTGCCCATAGGCACAGATCTAGGATCAGTTTACAATCCCCAAACCTAACCTGATCTGTCAGAGGGGAAAACAACTGAGCTTAGACCAGTGTTTATGGGCAACCTCCACCCACTCCGTACCCATCCCATCCCATCCCCGTCCCACCCACCTTGGTCCATCTAGCAGGGGTGCACGTTACACGCTCGGATCTCCTTCCTGTCCTTGCAGCTGGGGAGCTGAGCGCTCTTAAACCTCCTCTTGGCTGTCATTAGCCGCTCCTGGATCCCCCCGCCACACAGCTTGGTACAGTCTGTCCAGCTGGACCACGGCCTCATTTTACAGCCTGACCAGAGAGTGAGAGTCAGAGTGAGAGTGAGAGTGAGAGTGAGAGTGAGAGTAAGAGAGAGAGAGACAGAGAGAGAGAGAGAGAGACAGAGAGAGAGAGAGAGAGAGAAATCATGGAGAAAGACATTTAATGGTTTTTCATGGAAAATTGTTCCTTGTTAAAGAATAGCAATGATCATATTGAAGATACTGACTATCAAAACTGACTGTGATTTAGTTTTCTATGAGCACGTTTACATGCACACTAATAATTCAATATTAAACTAATTATGGCAGTAGGCAGATCATCTGGGCAAGGTCAAAAGAAGTAAGCATACGCCGATTAAAACACCTGGTTTTCAGAGCAACTTTTGTGTTAATTCTTAGGACATGTAAACACCTTAATCGGTGTACCAGCGGTGTATTTAATCTGTGCATGTGATAGCACCAGCCCAGCGAGCCACCCTCTTTAGCGCAAGTTAAGTGTGTATGTCCGAACTCAGAATCAAATATGCATCCCAAAAATAACATGCTTGCTGTGGTAGAACTTTTATTTTGATTGCCGATTTTCTGCATTTATCAGAGTGCCATCAGGTTGCCTGATTTCAGATGTGTCCATGTAAACAGGATTAATAGGGAAATCGTTCTTCATGCAAAGCATGTAAACGTTTTAATCAAACTATTATATTATATCTAACTATCCACAATAATCACATTATTGTGTGCATGTAACCGCACTCTATGATTTAGCTTGATGATGATTACATCGTTGATGATTATGAAAATGGTAATGACTATAACACTGCTGCTGACGGTTATGGTGGTGATAATGAGTCCCACCAACCTGGGTGTTCAGCGGTCGACGTGGTCTCCTCCCCCTGTCGACCCCCCTGTTTGCTCCTCCTCTTCTCCCTCGCCTCTTTGCGTCGTTTCTTCTCGTCGCTGTTGACCTGGCCCTGGCCACCGCCGCGGTTACACTTCCTGATCTTACACTTCTTCCTCTGTACTGTCTCGGGACACGAGTCCCCTCCGAACTGGGGCTCCAGCTTCACCATGCGCGTCCTGATCATGTGACCTTTACCACAGGATTTGTTACACTCAGACCACTCCGTCCACTCTGACACCATACAGTCTGTCGCTGTACAGAGAGAGAGAGAGAGAGAGAGAGACAGAGAGAGAGAGAGAGAGAGAAGAGACAGAGAGAGAGAGAGAAGAGACAGAGAGAGAGAGAGAGAAGAGAGGGGGGATGAGAGATAATGAAAGAGGAGGACAGGGTGGAGTAAGAAAGGTGAAGAGTTAATATGGGAAGAAAGCTTGTAAATACACCTTATGACTTCGCATTAGAGTTCCTTGTTCTACACATAACACAATATGAATCCCCTGGAAACAAATTATCTGACTTATGTCCACAACAAGAACATTCTTACGAACTGCAAGGATGATTAGGGCTGGCCAGAATAATACTGCCAGCTTTATCCCCTCGCTAAGACTGAGGGAAGACCAGTTAACAAGCTTTTTCACCCCAATACAGTGACAAGTCTGACAAAGTTAAAGCTGGTTATTTCTGCTTTTTAATCCCGTTCTTCACAATACATCCCTGAAATTAGCTCCCTTATTTTCTAGGGAACAGGAGAAAGGAGAGACTAAAGAGAGTATTTTCCTGTGGTAATGTGTCTGCCAGTCTCGTTCCTGACTAGAATTTATAAATATCCTATTAAGTCAGGCTTAAATGTGAGAGCACATGTGCACTTCTGGGTTCCAATGGAGGAGCAGCTTGAGGAAGCTGTTCCCTCTCATATAAACCAGCTAATAACCCACCAGGGTATTCCCATGATAACACTATCTGGGAGAGTTTGGGCTGGAGATGAGACTATGGGCACTCCTAACACAGATGTCAAACAGATGTGTATACACTAACAAGCCAAGTGTGTTTTAAATGTGTTTGTGACGTATGATAGGGAGTGTATTATAAGCAGACGGATGCTAGGTTGCACAATAAAGATACTAATCAGTATTATCATGAATTATACATGTGCAGTACTGTTTCAGTTGGTGTGTCCACACATGAATAAAGTAGGTTCGCTCCAATGTGTGTGTGTGTGAATGTTACTTACGGCACTCTGGCAGCATGCACTTCTCCACCTGCTCCAGGTCCTCTGTACACTCTCCCAGCTCCACAGGAGACTTGAGCACGCGCTGCCTCGTCCTCATGCCCTTCCCACACGTCACACTGCAGTCACTCCAGTCAGACCACGGAGACAGCATACAGGGGATGGTGTCTGTGCACACAGGACACACACAGAATCAGTGTCTATATTATTTCATCTGGTTGGCATTTGTTGTGGTGTGTGAGTGTGAGTGTGTGTGTGTATGTGTACGTGTGTATAAGTGTGCATGTGCTTATCTGTGTGTGTGTGTTACTCACGACACTCTGGCATCATGCACTTCTCCACCTCCAACACATCAGCCCCACAGATGGAGCCGTCCGGGGGAGGCATCTTCACCATGCGTTCCCTCCTCTTCATGCCCAGCCCACAGGTGGCACTGCAGGAGTCCCACTCACCCCACTCTGTCACCAGACAACTGTTGGGGGCTGAAGAGAGGGAGACGGGGGGTAAAACAGTTAAAAGGGGAAAAGGTGGAGATGGGGAAAGGAAGAGGAGGAGTGAATGAGAAGGGGGGGAGAGGAGAGAGGAGAGGGAAGAATGGGAGAGAGGAAGAGAGGGGGAGAGGGTGTGTTCAATGGGAGAGGCAGAGCTTAATCCACATATGCATTACTTTGTCCTGTAATCATGTTTCAATCCTGCATAATTATACATTATTCTAATAGTTTGAGCAGTGCATTTGAATAATTTAGCAGATGCTCTTCCACTGAGAATTGATGCACACAATGGGCCTCATTTATCAACAGCATAGAAATACACAGATTAATCAAACATTTCCTATACCTCGGAAATTGTTTGTTTACCTGATTAAAAACAAAAACTTTGATAAATGCAGCAATGTGTGTGATAAATGACTCATACAAACAAACAACAAATGAGGCCCAGTTAGTTTTGTTCAGTTTTTTTGTGAACCATTGATTTCAGGGGTGAAAGCTACTCACTGCACTCCTCGTTCACAATACACTTCTCATTCTCCTCAGTAGGTAAGGTACACACAGAGCCATCATCAGGGAACTGCTTGACATAGCGTTCCCGGGAGCGCATGCCCATCCCACATGACATGCTGCACGGAGACCAGGTGATCCACTCTGACATCATGCAGGTGGACCCTTCTGAGAGGTCGGGGGCAAAGGGCAAAAGGTCACGGTCAGTTATGGCATTTTAGTTGCATTCAGGATTTTAATGTCCTTGCAGTGTTAGTAGCTACATCACACTTTATATAATCAACCAGTGTATGATGCATCTACACTATAGGGCCTCCTGTTAGTCTCATTTATCATAGTAAGACAATACAAGACTATGAGCATCTATGTCAGCTCATGGCCATTACAAGAGCTTGTACCAGTACACCTGTACCCAAAGTCTTACCCAAGAGCTTTAAACATGCATAAGATGTGAATGCATTTATGTAACAGACATGTTTCTGCTCATTTATAACCACCCCCTGCTGTTGTTGCATTATGTTCAGGAGGGAGGGAGGGAGGGAGGGAGGGAGGGAGGGAGGGAGGGAGGGAGGGAGGGAGGGAGGGAGGGAGGGAGGGAGGGAGGGAAAGAGTCGTTCTGGGTGAGACTCACGTGGATTTATATCTAAACCCTCCCTCCCCAGACTGAAAGACTCATTTAGTTCTGCTCAATAAAGCAGCTCATTAATAAGATGAGCAAATCATTAATTAATCATTAATAATAAGCTAATCATGAATAAGAGCCCTGAATAAGAGCATTGTGTGTGTGCATGCATCACACACACACATACACACACACACACGCCAGCTAAACCTCTGTATTATGAATCAATTATGAATTATGACTCAATAGAGTTCTTTAACAGACCATTCAAAGTGAAGGGAGCCAGATCTCCATGGTAATAAGTGGGATGCTGTTTAAGGACAATGTGTGAAGGGGACAAGATATATTATATCAATAATGTACTAATAGGTGGAAGTGAAGATAGACCACCTCCAGAGATTCAAGGTCAACTCTTGATATTGTTTGTCAATGAGAAGATGCCTTCTATTGAATTTATATTCATTGTGGGTCTGATATTTTTCATTACGCCAGATTGGGCATACTTCCACTTGCACGCACACACACACGCACACACACACATACACACACACACACACACACACACACACACACACACACACACACACACACACACACACACACACACACACACACACTCATACCCAAGCCTATTTGATTATTCATTAGTCTTTCACTGCAAGCAGCAAAGACATGTTGTCCCCTGTGTGTATTCTCATAATTTGTTATGTGTCTTTTAATAAAGCCTTAGTATCCACTGTGGGCTCCCGGCAGCTTTAGCTCATTACACATTTTATAGGCTTGTCTCAGAAACACAGCGTCCCCCTCACCTCTATGATGCTACAACTTTATTGGCCGAGCTACAAACGAGCTGAGGGCTTTATCGATGACCCCACACCAATAAAGACCTGCACTGAACCAGATTTTACCTTTCCCTGTCTGACTCGTTGCAATAACCTATGAAATGCTACCAAAGATGACGTCCACACTAGTAAAGCTCCTAGAGCTCATAAAGGGGCTTGGTGGTCAGATGTTGAAGTTTATTTTTAGATGGGTGTTTATACACCGAGACAGCAACAAGAAATACACATTTCCAGATTGTATCCAAGGTTGTATTGTACTATATGTGTTCATGTCACTATAAATGTGTAACGGATGTGGTTCGGTGAACCACGCTCACGTGTTGACGGAGACTTGCGTTAGTTCCCTGAGCTAATATATCGGCTTTAGCTCAGGAGGCTAACACAGTCTTGTAAATCTCAGGTTAACCTGTGTTCGAAACCCCGCCATGTCTCATGAGCTGCCTAGTACATCCAACATACTGACCCTCGTCGCTGCAGCCGGGCCCCATGCAGGGCTCAAAGTCCTGGGTGTGAGGACAGGGTACACTGAGGTCCAGCTGGGCCTTCAGCATCCTCTGTCTCATCCTCTTGCCCTTGTCACAGGTGGCTGAGCTGCAAGCTGACCAGGGAGACCAGTTGGAGTAGATACACGTCTCTGGAGTGTCGTCTGAAGGGAGGGAATGTGGGAACGAGAGAGAGAGAGAGAGAGAGAGAGAGAGAGAGAGAGAGAGAGAGAGAGCGAGAGAGAGAGAGAGAGAGAGAGAGAGAGAGAGAGAGAGAGAGAGAGAGAGAGAGAGAGAGAGGGAAGGAGGGAGGGAGGGAGGGGGAAGAAAGGGTGGCAGAGGAGGAGAGAGAAAGGGATTAGAGGAGAGAGAGAGAGAGAGAGAGAGAGAGAGAGAGAGAGAGAGAGAGAGAAGGAGAAAGACATTAATAAAATAATGTTGATGAAGGGCATAAACACAAATGTTCAAAGTCATAAGTAGTTATGTGTTTCCTCAGGTGTGTGTTGGGTGCCTAAGCCCCTCCTCACTAAGTGATGTGCTATTGAAACATTAATCTGACTCAAATCAAATCAAACATGTATGTCCCTGGGACATGTTAAGGAGCGACAATTCACTTGGAACAATCTCAACTGCAGCCTTATTGATTTAATGAAAATGCCACTACTGATCAAATCTGCATATGATTCCATCTGTGCAGCTTTCCCATGAAAGAGAGAGAGAGAGAAAAGGCAACATGGAGGACGATTGTGCTGGCTGGGTTAACTAATTGAACTGTTTCTCAAGCTCTGGTTCTAATCTCCCATGCCTGGAGATGGGCAGACAGAGAGAGAGTGAGAGAGCGAGAGAGAGCGAGAGAGCGAGAGAGAGAGACATGCCTTTCTCCTCTCTCTTGCTTATCGCTCCTCTGTTCCAACCTTTGTTGGCAGATTTGAAGAGATACAGGGACACAGAGGGCGGAGAGAGATAAAGAGAGACACAGACCTTCCTCTTTCTCCTCCTGGGCGATATCAGCCACAATGTCGTCCACGTTATCAGGCACGATGTTGCACTGCTCGCCCTGCGGACAGACAAACACAGGCCTGGGTTGTGGAATACATACCACTCTGTTGTGATAAGATCCTCCGTTTGCCTCTGGCGGCTATCAGACAGAGAAGGGGGTAAACAGGGAGGTCAGCTGATGTATCTCTCACCTTGGCTGGAGCTCACAGATACACGTTGTCGCTATCTAGCTAGCGTATGTAGTTATCTATCTTTCTAGCGAACGGGGAGGTGATATGGGGACATGCTGATAATGGCATTCAGCTGTCATAACAACAGATGTCCGCTTAGGGCAAGTGACAAACGATCAGAGTGATAGGGTGTGTGTGTGTGGGTGTGGGAGGGGGTTGCTGTGTGTGTGTGTGCGATTGAGCGTGCACATGTGTGCTTGTACCTGCATGCTTCAGTGTGTGAGGATCAATATATTGGTAAAGGCTATGAGAGAGTAGATGGAGAGATTCCAGTTGAGTCTGCTTGGCTCGATGCTGTGTAAATGCTATAGTCCACTGACATTTACATCACTGTTCAATACCTGCTCTCTTCAAACTGCACCTGTACAACTAACATCTATATCTACAGCTGTATTGATCCACAACTTCTTCAGTTAGGCACTGGAACAATGCAGAGGGAGTAAAAATAAAGTTACGTTCTTCTCAGATGGAAAAATATGTATCTTCCTCTAGTGTCTGAAGCTTTTAAGTTGACATTTCTAGTTCAATACACCAATATGCTCCATTGTGCTGTTTGTTTACCATTTCATTTTGAATCGTATACCGAAACAACCTTATGAACACAGGCACATAATCAAAAGTTTGTAACCGCTTCGAGATCTTAGAGCGAACCTCAAACATGCCTTGATGTGCATGAAATCAGGTTGTGTTGGTGACAGCTGGAGGGAAGGAACAAGAGGAGTGAGTAGAGAGTGAGACAGAAGGAGGATGGAAATAGGAAGTGAAGTAAGCAAAGAAAGAGGAAAGAGACAAGAAAAGTGGGAGAGATATAGCAGCCAAAGGAAGGGAAGGAATGGAGAGAGATGATTGGATGAACAGACCTTTCGGGCGATGCGCTCCACCACTACCCTGGCCACGGGGGTGATGGCGCCCCCCTCAGGGTCGTAGAAGGGGCTCTGGGGGTGGTCCAGGCTGGTCAGGGGGCGGATCTTCTCCTGAGGGACTGTGGGCTTGTTGGGAGACTGGAGGACAGAACACACACACACACAAATGAAGAGTCAACATACATGACTGTGCTTTTCATGTCAATATGTGTTCCATTGTAGTATTGAGGAAGAGTGTCATGATATCAGTGATAAAACATGTCTTTGCAGATAACCTTGTACTTACCTGGTTAAATAAAGGTGAAATAAATAAAAATAAAAACAATAAAAAATAAATGAAAGGTTGCAATAGGTCTCTTCATGTGCAATATGGAGGCATGCAACACATCTACATAGTCTCGTCCCAGGACAAATAACATATGGCCTCCTAGGACTGGCAAACCTAGATTATACAAGTCACAAAGCCACATCCACTAAAACAACATGAATTCATAGATCTGGGTCAGGGACACTATGATTTATGGGGTTATGTGGTGAAACTGTTGTCATTAGTCTGCAGCAAAGGTCTGCCAGCAGGGGGCTAACACAGCAAACACAGCCACAGGGCTTCTGAAGGCACAGCACTGGAAAACAAGCCATCCACTAGTCTGAACATAAAGGGATGACATGTAACTTTGTAAAAGTGCTGGTGTTTTTATGGTGATTAAAATCTGTCACACCTTTGAACTTCCGATATGTTATATGGCAGGCAAAACCATCCATTACAATGTACAGTTTGTGGATGCTACATCATTACATAAATCATACTATTTCACACCAGTGGAGAGCAGAGTCACACAGTGAGAGAGAACAAACTCCAAACTTCAACTTCAGGCTTCCTAAAACCACTAAAATATATAGACACTGTTCAATAATAAAACACTCTACAACCTTATTTCATAACTCTTGACTGGTTCTTACACAACTTGTTCTTTCTTCTACCCAAGTACACTGTAAGTATGTATGAGGCTTCAGACATTTGATATGAGTGAAATCATTGGTGGGGCGAGCCAAATCAAGCAGGGGAGAAACAGTTCAACAGGTTCGTCTGTGAACTCCCAGGGATCAGCCAGAGGTCTGTCTGTGAGCTCACATAGCACAGCAAAGGCTCCCCTACCAGTCTACCAATAAGGAAAAATTATATATTGACATATACACTGAGTGTACAAAACATTAGGAACACCTGCTCTTTCCATGACAGACTGACCAGGTGAATCTAGGTGAAAGCTATAATACCTTATTGATGTCACTTGTTAAATCCACTTCAATCAGTGTCGATGAAGGGGAGGAGACAAGTTAAAGAAGGATTTTTAAGCCTTGATACAATTGAGACATGGATTGTGTATGTGTGCCATTCAGAAGGTGAATGGGCAAGACAAAATATTTAAGTGCCTTTGAACGGGGTATGGTAGTAGGTGCCAGGCGCACCGGTTTGAGTGTGTTAACAACTGCAACGCTGCTGGGTTTTTCACGCTCAACAGTTTTCCGTGTGTATCAAGAATGGTCCACCTCCCAAAGGACTTCCAGCCGACTTGATACAAATGTGGGACGCATTGGAGTCAACATGGGCCAGCATCCCTGTGGAACTCCTTCGACACCTTGTAGAGTCCATGCCTCGACGAATTGAGGCTGTTCTGAGGGCAAAAGGGGGTGCAACTCAATATTAGAAAGGTGTTCCTAATGTTTTGTATACTCAGTGTATTGCAATATTATTTTTGACTATATCGCAATATTATTTTCGCACTAGTCGGCTGTACATGCACCAAAATTCCAGTATTTTTCCTTCATAGCTTTTGCTTCATCTTCTTTTTAAATACTGAGCCAATTTGTTTCCAGCACTTTAATTTCCATGACTGATCAAAACTCATTTTCTCATGGCTCTCTCTTGTCCCTCTGCAGCAGACATATGTTTGGAACATCGAATCGCAGTAACATCGCAGTGTCGAATAGCAATACATATAGAATCGTGAGAATCGCAATACATATCGTATCGGCACCTAAGTATCGTGATAATATGGTATCGTGAGGTCCCTGGCAATTCCCAGCCCTATAAGAAAGTGTGATATAATACAGTAGGTGGTGTGAGTGATGTGTGATGTCTGGGGCTTGCGCTCCAGTGTTATGGTTAGAATCCCTGTGGTAGAGATAGTGTGAATATTAGAACGTGTAGTTGTAACATTTTGAGGGGGTCACTGACCTCGTAAGTGACCCCGTTGTCGGTGCCTGCATCCCAGGGGATCATATCTTGGACAACCCTCTGGGCCCAACCACACTCCTTGGTGCAGAGATCCTCTGCAGACAGCCCCACGTTCCAGTCAGGGCTGGGCCCCAGCATGGTGAGGAAGGACATCAGGTGACGGGTACGGTCCACTGAGAACTCAGCCGACGGGGCAGCACGACTGGAGGACAGAGAGAAGGGACTATTTTGAAGAAGGTCACAATTGCAAAAGTTGTGATATATGATGTTCTACCTACCTTTAGTTGATCAATGCACTGATTGCAAGTCACTCTGGATAAGGGTGCCTGTTAAATGACTAAATGTGAAAAGTGGAAGAGAGAAGAGAGAGAGTTGAGAGCGAGATAAAGAGAGAGGAAGAGAGAGGGAGAGAGAGAGAACAGAAATACTGACTGAAGTTCCTAAAAAGCATGAAAAGAGAAAGAGGGATAGCAAGGAAAGGGAGATGAAGAACGATGAAAGGATGAGAGAAGGGGTACTGAAGTCCACAGAGATGTAGAGAAGTTTCTTTGCTGCCTCTGGCATGCTCTGCGCATCCAGCTCACCCCCTACAACAGTTCAACACAGAGCTGCCAGCCAGAGGTAATGAGTAATAAACACCCCTAAAGATTTTACTGGTGGCAGAGAGCCACAAGTATGTGTGTATGTGTATGTGTGTGTGTGTGTGTGTGTGTGTGTGTGTGTGTGTGTGTGTGTGTGTGTGTGTGTGTGTGTGTGTGTGTGTGTGTGTGTGTGTGTGTGTGTGTGTGTGTGTGTGTGTGTGTGTGTGTGTGTGCAACAGAGAATGTTGTGACGTGTGCGCTAGTTCACAGACAGTCACAAGCACAATAATGCACACGGCAACACACACAGAAGACACACAGTCACCACATCGTCACAAACACAAAATGTCTGTTCAGGAATACTTTTTCCTAGTACCAAACCACAGCATTTCTAATGAAAGTTTATCAGGGGTTGATATATACCTCCCACCCTCCTACACCCTATCTCTCCTGCCACCCTGTCAGTTACAAGTCGGCTTTGTGTTGGGACCAATGTGGCCGTCAGAGATAAACCCAAGGCCTCCGAGACTGGCTGAGCTGAGCAAAGGGACGCGGTGACACGCGGTGAGGGGGATGAGGGGACGGCTGGCAGCCTGCTGTGTGTTCCCAGAAGATTAGAGCTCTTACACATCCTTAGAGGTGATTATTACCGTGTATTGGAGGACAGGACTGGACAAAGAGAGGAAGATGGAGAGAAAGAGAGGGGTGTAGGCTGTTTTCTGTGGGGACCGTCTGAGTACATTGAGGCTCTGGAGAGTGTGTGTGCATGCTTGCCTTCATGCTCGAATGTGTGTTTGAGAGAGGAATGGCTCTGTACTTTGACAGAGACAGAGAACACCGCCCAGGGACAAAGATTCCCACAGGGGCTGCTCTGTCTGTGTCACTAGCACATTGTGTGACACATTGTTGTTGTGTGTGTGTCAAATCAAATGTTATTTGTTACATAAACAGTTTACAGCGGGTATAAAAGGTGCAGTGAAATGCTTGCGTGCTAGCCCCTCAACATGGCATTACAATATCAATCAATATTAATCAAAGGTCAATCAAAACTAACAAGTAATTAGAGGAATGTTGTATGCATAGTAATAAAGGTGATGTCTACACAATAGGATATACAGTATAAATGTCAAGTATGACTATGTTACAAATATAAAGTGGATAGTGTCTTGGTCGCACAGTTGAATAAATAGTATATTATAGAACAGCAGTGTTAACTGTGTGTGCGTGAGTGTGTGTGTGTGTGTGTGTGTGTGTGTGTGTGTGTGTGTGTGTGTGTGTGTTTGTGCATGCGTGCGTTTGTGTGTATGGGTTGGATGTCTGGAGAGTCAGTGCAGATAAGATGCAGATATTCTCTGAGGTTCAAATAGTCTCTAAGGTGCAGGTGTGTGTGTGTGCATGTGTGCCTGAGTATTTGTATTTTTTGTATTTATTATGAATCCCCATTAGTTCCTGTCAAGGCAGCAGCTACTCTTCCTGGGGTCCAGCAACATTAAGGCAGTTACATACAATTTAAAATAATACATTACATTACATTTCATAACACTTTTCACAACACATTAAGTGTGTTCCCTCAGGCCACTACTCTGCTATCACATATTTACAATACAACATCCATGTGTACATGTGTGTAGAGCGCGTGTCTTATCATGTGTATGTGTATGTGTGTCTGTGCCTGTGTGTGTGTCTCTTCACAGTCCCCGCTGTTCCATAAGCTGTATTTGAATCTGTTTTTTAAAATCTGATTCTACTGCTTACATCAGTTACCTGATGTGGAATAGAGTTCCATGTAGTCATGGCTCTATGTAGTACTGTGTGCCTCCCATAGTCTGTTCTTGACTTGGGGATTGTGAAGAGACCTTTGGTGGCATGTCTTGTGAGGTAGGCATGGGTGTCCGAGCTGTGTGCTAGTAGTTTAAACAGACAGCTCGTGCATTCAGCTTGTCAACACTTTTTACAAAAACAAGTAGTGATTAAGTCAATCTCTCCTCCACTTTGAGCCATGAGAGATTGACATGCATGTTATTAATGTTAGCTCTCCATCTACATTTAAGGGCCAGCCGTGCTGCCCTGTTCTGAGCCAATTGTAATTTTCCTAAGTCCCTCTTTGTGGCACCTGACCATACGAGTGCGTGTGTGTGCATGTGTGTGTGTGCTCGGATGCCTACGTGTGTGCACAGGTGACAGGTGTACGTGTGAGATATACATATTCCCAGAGGAACATGGAAGCGGATTATGTCAGGTTATCTAGAAGTGCAGGTAGACCAGTGGGACTGAGAGTGAAACCAGATGAAACCAGACGTCCTCTCAAACGCGTTTCACCTACCAAGGACAGACAGACAGACAGACAGACACAGACCTTAAACTCAAAGTGGAAAGCAGCTGCAGCGACCCTGAGTCTCCAGTTCACTGTGTAAAATGTACTCCTCATCAATCCAGCCGGGGAGGGCAAAAGCAAACATGTCATTTAAAAGGACATTGTGAAAACGACAGGCAGGGAGAATTATGTGTTTACACGTCAATAAAACATGGCCGGAGGGAAGGAGGAGGAACGGGAACACAACACACAGGAAATTGATTCCTGCCAAGACGAGCCCGGTCAATCCCCTGGCGTGTATGCAAATGAGGCGGGCAGTGGGTAATTTCATCAGTGTGCCACAGCGTTTTTAATTAGGCGAGCTTTCCTCAACGATAGCGCCAGCAATCAATCTCCGTGTTGACCCTGATGCTGACCTTGGTGTGGCGGCATGGAGCGGTTGGTTGGTTGGTTGGAGACAGCCCTGGTGGAATTCCCACCTCTCTTACGTTCTATTCCTCCCTCTCTCTCTCTGAACATATATCTTTCTCTGTTGCTCTCTCTCTGCGTCCATCTTTCCCTATTTTGGTAAATTTTTCTCTATCTCTCTCTCGCTCTCTTCCTTTCCCTTTAACATGTTATGAGTCTCAGGAGACAGCTCTGCTGTGTGTAATAATGGATGTCATATCTGCACCCCTCCACTCACCCACCTCCCTCACTCCCTCTCCACCCTCCTCTGACTTTCTCTCTCTCCCTTTCCTTTGCTCCAGCCACCACATCTCTCTTAAGATGACCACTTAAGTTCCAAATCAATAGAAGGGATCACTGTGGAACAAAGGCACTAGAAGGGAAGATTGATAAAGAGACAGGTAAAGAAATGTGGTTATATAAACTCAGTGTATTCATTAATGTTCTAGTTCTTCCAAACCCTTCCTAACCCAACACTGATCCCAGATATCCCTGAACCTGAAGCTCCATCTCTAACAATCTGCCTACGTAATAAAGAGCTGGTTTTCTCACCACTGATAATTAATCAACGTCTATTTCTCTCTCTCTTGCTCTCTCTCTCTCTCTCTCTCTCTCTCTCTCTCTGTTTATTTATTTTTTCTCCCTCTTTCTCTTTTTCAAAGGCAGGGTAAGTGGGTTTGTTAATTGGCAGGCAGCTGTGTAAAATAGGTCAGCCTGATGTCTTGATACACAGGAGCCTGCAGGAGGCCCTTAACCTTGATGGAGAAAATCCCCTCCAGGAGTTCTTTCACTCATCATCAAAACACACACCCTCTTAACCCACACACATACATACATATGTACACACAAGTGCAGTAACACAAGCCCCCTTCACTAATTCACACACAAACTTTATGAATCACACGTAGAAACACGTACAAACAACATTTATAAACACGTTCAAAAACATGTGCGAACATGTAAAAACAAAAATCGTATGCAATCCCAACAGAATCATTTTAAAGAATAAAAAGAAATATCCTTCAATTGCAGGAGCAAAATATGCACTTAACCATTTCTGTACTCTACTTTCAAGGAAGAAAAACCTTCTCTCCTCTTCCCCTCCTTTCCTCCTCTCCTCTCCTCCTCTCCTCTTCCCCTCCTCTCCTCTTCTCCTCCTCTCCTCTTCCCCTCCTCGCCTCTTCTCCTCCTCGCCTCTTCCCCTCCTCTTCTCCTCCCTTTCCTACCACCCATCCCCTACACCAGTTGATTTGATTTCCTCTGCATTTACACAGCCACTTTATGATACGATTAATTTGCTGGCATATAAACAAGATAGTGAGCTTATTATCCTCTGTGGATTTGATTGGCTCTGTCCCTCGCTGTGGCTTCCTTTGGAAGCTCTCTTTGGAGTCTCACACTCGGATCCTCTGTGAGTGTTGAGGATGCTTCTCTCTCTGAGCTACCTGGGCTAACTAGCTCCTTGTCTTTCTCATAAATAAGAGATTAAATGAGGGTTTATGCATGCAGGAGTCTAAAGGAAGCCTAGTCACACTGATCAGCTTGGTGCATGTGGAGATGAGCTATCAGATTCAGGGCATGTACTTTTAAGTGACTCAAAGGCACAGAGCAACAAGTCGAGTGCAGAACTTTGGATCAATGAGTTGTGATACCTCATTTGTGTGCTTGGGAGGCCAGGCATGATTCAACGTTGAGTGGATGAGCAATGAAGAAGACCTTGCAGTGTGGTATAACTCATGCATATGTGAAAAGAGAGAAAAACATGGAAGGAGCATAAAGAAGAAGGGTGAGGGTGGCAAATAGAAAGGAGGGAGGGAGAGGAAGGAAAAAGGACGTTGCTGCAGGACGGATCAAATCCCTCAGGAGAAAGTGTGAGTGAGTTAGTCAGAGAGATAGTGAGAGAAACAGAGAGAGATGATAGAGGAGGTAGCTGTTGGACTACTCACACATTCAAGGGTTGCCAGGCTGGCCACTGAGCCTTCATTTTGATGACTGTCAGGACGTCATCACCCTGAGAGAGAGAGAGCGAGAGAGAGAGAGAGAGAGAGAGAGAGAGAGAGAGAGAGAGAGAGAGAGAGAGAGAGAGAGAGAGAGAGAGAGAGAGAGAGAGAGAGAGAGAGAGAGAGCTTTAATCAACAAATTCACTTGTCATCTGACAGATAGAGGCTCAGCCATATTCACCACATTACACTTCCAGATGAGGGGAGAGATTGGATGAAGGTCAGTTTATCTCCCCCTCTTCCACCTATTGTCACTTTCTCTCTGAGACAAAGGAGTGATAAATACAGCGTGCATCACTTCAGATAGAGTGCCGGCATCACCACTTCATAAAACCTGGATAAATATTTCATCAGTAGCTCTGGACACCGCAGGGCTCTCCGTGTCACTGCCTGAGAGAGAGGGAACGTCTCTGCGCTGGTCCCAGATCAGATAAAACACTCAAAGCACAGAGCAGGATTTAAGCCCAGACTGAACTCAGACCTGAGGGGGAGACAGCTCCCTCAGCACCCAGTCACAACAAAGGAGAAGCCTTGAGACTTAGAAAATAGAAGTAGATATGTTTCATCGACATCGGTTTTGTCTTTCTACTAGATTGTTTTGTGAAATAATACTTCCCTGTCCATATCATAGAAATGTGGTATAGAAAATATTATATAATATATGGCCTATATAATCGGTTTAAAGTTCAACATTAAACATATCTCTTGGATAACAGCATTACACATATTAAACGCTCCAGTCCATTCCAAGTGGAAACCATATTTCTTAAGCGCAATTCACTTGGAGAACAATAGGATCATTGCGACTGCAAAAGACACAATTAAAAATGTTTGAGCACCACACTGGCTCATTTGCGCCCAGCCTTTTTCATTACGGCTGCGATTTATGACATCACACTGTGGCGGAAATGGCTCTTTGGCTGTGAATAGGTGGCTAACAGCTGGTGTGCATATACATTCAGATGACTAGAACATTCTGTTCATATTGTTATTGCTGAGAGAGACTGTGTGATGTACAGTAGAGTGTAGAGTGCATTCTGCCATATGTGCGATGATCCAAATCGATAAAGAACATTAGAAAACATTGATATATTGGTTCATATGTAATACAGCAATTATAAATCTATCAATTGGGGCGAGACTGCAGTGGAAATTGTGACATAAAAGGAATCACTGTGTCCCTATGAACAATGAACATCGAACACAAGTCATCAGAAGAAAGGAAAACTGAAGCTCAGCACATCCTTGTCAGAAGTCTGCCACCCGGCATGTTGGCACCTGTGGCTCCTGTAAAGATCAAAGTGAATTATCCAATGCCAGATCATTGCTTTACAAGCCACCAATTAATGTTTCCAATAGAGGATTCCGTGCCAGTACCATCCAGTCCCATTACTGTATGTTGGGTAATCACTTTTTAATTCATTCTTTCCTATAATTACCCATAGTAAAAGGCTGTGAGCCCCACCCAGGCACACAGAGCTGACGTCCTTTCTTTGTCCTCGAGAGCTGCAGCGCATGCAGGCTTTTGTTCCAGCCCATCTCTAACACATTTAACAAACTGGTCTTAAATTGAAGACCACAATTTGAAGATTATTTGAATTAGCTGTGTTAGTGCTGGGTGGAAAAGATAACCTGCACACACTGACAGCAGTTCAAAACCCCTGTTCTGACCTCTAGATCTGCACTGCCAGTACACATAAGCAGTCATAAGGCTTATTCATACTGCAAATGACCTCTGAACCTTTTTCCACACCTCTCTTATCACATTTACTTGTAATGCCAATAGGATCACAGCTAGCTTGTGGTAACACTGTCTAACTTCAGCAGTCAGCAAAAGCCACACACCCTTTGAGACCTGGCCTGATTGCCCCAGCAGCTCTTGAGGATAACCTGTTCCGCTCCGGCTAAGTGATTAGTGCTCTATAATCAGCCAGGAAGCCTGACTGGAACCTAATCGGGGGGTTTTGTGGAGAGTTGGGTTTAGTGTAGCACCTCTGAACTCCACTGCTTCTGTTTACTGAATGCGGTGGGAAAGAAAGTGCAGGATCCAGCTAGCTCTGGTTGAGAGAGCAAAGACCTTATGGTCGTTTCCAAATGCCATGAGGGAACGGGCTACTGTCACTGAATACATATCAACTACATGCATTGGACACAGAATACACAGAATATGTAACATAATGTGGGAATACTTATGAACTAGATGTACATCTTACAGTATGGCAGAATGTGTATCACATACTGTATGTATTGGATGATTCATCACAAAACAGGACCATGATTTTGGGGATTTTCACAAACTGTTGTCCATAGAAGGGTCCTTTGGAGGAAGGATTGTTGACATACATTTGTCGTTTGTATCTTAAAGCATAATTGAGAAATAATTAATTGAAGTTGGAACATTTGTGACATATTGGCCTTACCCATAAGACACCATAATGTTCCATCTGTATGTGCTAAAAAGAAAAAATGGTGTCATATGAAGCTTTACCGCTTGCTCTGTAATATGAGTAGTAGTTTGATTTCAATAACAATTTTCTTGCAATAATATATGAATACTGAAAAATATAAACATGAATTAAGAAGGCCTGGGTAAGGCCAAAATGTCACATATATTCCCACTTCAATTAATATTTATATTTTTTATTATGCTTTAAGATACAAATGTCAAATATACAGTATGTCAACAATCCTTCCTCCAAAGGATCCTTCTATTGATACAATTTCGTGAAAATGTAAAAAAAATCATGGTCCTGTTTTGTTCTAGTTTCGTGAGGAATCACCCTATTGTGGAACACCTCAGTGACAAAGAACAGGTTAGTCTGCATACTACTGTAACAGAAAGCAGAGCAAAACAACTGATAAACTAAGGCTGCTCATTTGAGCATACACCCCGCCAAGACTCCTCTTCAGTTCCCGCTGTGTCTATTGTTGCGAGTCTATGCCTCTCTGATGCATCATAGAAAATAAGATTTGATTCATCTTTGTTTCAGACAAGTGCTTTGTCGCCAAAGAAACATAATGGCCTGTGTCGTTCAGAATAGCTCTGCCGGGATGATGATTGTGTTTTAGATTTGGACTTGAAAGGAAACATCAGGGAAATAGATTAATGAAACTTTCCACTCATGGTGAAGGGAGGAAGATGGGGAGGGAGAGAGGAGATGGAGAGAGAGAGAGATTGCGAGAGACAGACAGAGAGAGCAAAAGAGAGAACAGAGAGACTGACAGAAGTCCCTAAAAAGCAGATGAAAGAGAACAAGAGAGAGGGAGAATGAACCAGCCACTCTAGTGGGACGTGTGCTTATGAGGAATGGATCTGTTCTCTCCTCTCACTGAACCAGCTGGAACACACTGACAGACCTCTGGATGTGGATGGCAGTGTATGTGTGGTGTGTGTGTGTGGGTGTGGGTGTGTGTGTGTGTGTGTGTGTGTGTATATGTGTGTGTGTGTGTGTGTGTGTGTGTGTGTGTGTGTGTGTGTGTGTGTGTGTGTGTGTGTGTGTGTGTGTGTGTGTGTGTGTGTGTGTGTGTGTGTGTGTGTGTGTGTGTGTGTGTGTGTGCGTGTGGTCTGCTTCAAAAGGCACTCCAGGGAACCAAGAGATAGAAGGGGGACAGATTTTCAAAGCGCACTCAATCAACTTCAGAACATCCTGCCCTGATCACTGCATTCTATGTCACGTCAGCCAGCCCCATTCCCCAGTCACTTTAAAATCCATTTGATTTAATTGAACCACCCACAGGTAGTGCCCTGGCTCGGATCGTTAAGGTAGCCTATTCCTCGCCACTTTCAGGATGCCATCAAAAGAGTATGCCACAACAGGCTTCTCATCACAAAGCGGCAAGGATGAAAACAATGTTCTTTTAGAGATGTTTTGTTTGTTTTCATGTTTACCAAAAGGAAATGCATTCAAAATGTGTTTGAATGCTATAAGCAATTCAGCCACCCCATCACTTGGGATCATGGTCTCTTTTTTCGGGGAAATAATTGTCAAACTTGATTTGAAAAGCAAAGTGGTGATTCTTTCACTCGTCTCTCTCCTTCTCCCTCTCCCTCCCTCCCTCTCTTTCATTCGTCCTCTCTCTCCCTCTTTCTTACTCTCCCCTCTTCTACGCTCTCGTTTTCTCTCCCACTCGCTCTCTCATTTCCTCTGTGTGATGATACTCTCAAATCTCATACAATAGATCATGAACATAATCCTAGAGTAGCACCTGGGAAGTCTCTGATTGAACACCACTGTGCTAATGATTGTAACATCCACTCAGCGTGTTATGAATGCTAACACAACATCAGCTAGCCAACTGCAGGGGGGATATGTAGTGAGGTTGATCGACAAATAATAGTGTAATGATGTTATTCTTATAATGAATGGTACAATAAACGTATGAGTTCATACTGAGTGAGTGGGTTACTGATGTGCTAGAATAGTACCAGAGACAGTAGATCGTGGCAGTGCTCTTTTCTAATTCATGTAAATAGGCTATCTGGGAAAGCTGTATTGGCATTGTAAAATAAAGTGTTATTGTCTCCAGCTTAGATATGTCTCTGTTCCTCTCATTTTCAGACCGAGGAAAGATGATCTCTTTTAAAAGCCCCCATCTCTTTTAGGAAAGACATTCCAAATGAAATTAGTTTCTTACAGGCAACATTGCTCTAATTAATATGATGCATGAGCTCAGGTTGCTGCTTGTAGAATTTAATTTAATGAAGTTGACAAAGGTCGTACACAAAGGTTGTACACAAGTTGACAAAGGTAATCACACTGAACAGGTACAACAAGGTGATGTTAGAGATAGCTAGCTAGATAGCTAGATAGAAAGATAGAAAGATAGAAAGATAGATAGATAGATAGATAGATAGATAGATAGATAGATAGATAGATAGATAGATAGATAGATAGATAGATAGATAGATAGATAGATAGATAGATAGATAGATAGATAGATAGATAGATAGATAGATAGATAGATATATGTGTGTGTGAGTGTGTGCGTGTGCATGTGTGTGTGTGTGCAT